TGCATGGTCACTGCGTCCATAGCCTGCATGGGGGCTGTCTGCGGCATTGGCATAGATAACGGACCAGTTTGTCCGACTTGCAGAGCAACCGCATCCGCAGCGTGCATTGGCACAGTCTGGCCGACTTGCACCGCCACCACATCCATTGGGCCCATCTGCGACACTTGCATGGATGCTGGAATAGTCTGTCCGACTTGCACGGCCACGGAGTCCATCGAGTGCATTGGGCCTGTCTGTGGCAACGGGGCCACTGGCGGGGTGAGCATGATTGGAATGGCAACCCCAAAGACGTTTCCCAGATTCTGGGGTGATTTGGTTGGTGAGTGCATACCGGCTGCTTCAGGGAGTGGGCTAGAAGGCTCAGCACCACCTCGACCCATGTTGACAGGGGAATTGCTCCGAGACAACAAGGCCGGAATCTCAGCAACACGTTGTCCGAGATTAAGTGGTGAGTTGTGCCGGGACCATGTGCCTGTGGACTCGGCATCAGCACCTTGGCTGTTGTCATCGCTCTCCTGTCCGGAGGTGCTGGCTGCACTGCAATTGTCATCCTCCACGAAGGATGCCTTGCTAAATGACAGCATCTCTGCGCTGCTCCCCCTGGGTCGGGGATGCTCGAAGTCTGTCATGATGGATGGGCATGAGACTGCTCGGGTGAGGATGGCAGTCCCCATGGGTTTGCTGGCGTCGCTGAAGTGAACAAAGGTGTTCTTGGTGGGCACCTTCGCCTCCGCCACGTTCATCGTCATGGACATCGTCCTTCTAATACACTAAATTGCCCGCTAGATCTTTAGTTTGCCTTCAGGGCGGCAAGGTCTGAAGCCTGAAGTTCAGCGCGGGCAGGAGCAGAATTTCAAAAGAGGGTCAGCTCAACACATGCAGGCACGAGGAAGGCTTGCCTAGGTGCATGACGGCAGGAAGTGCTATAAGGTTCCAAAGGCTCTAGGCGGCTGTTCCTGGTCACTACCAGTCGGGATACATCCCGGGCGCATTATATGGGACACAGTCGTCAAAAAAAAACAGCTACCAACCCCGATGCACTCAGATTGCCAGCTGCAGCCCTTGCCTCAGTGGAGAGCCCGAACTGAACTGCGCCCGACTTGCCAGCTCCCACGTCTCGTCCCCATACCTGGAAGCACTGTAGCAAGGAGATGTTGCTCATGAAATCACTACAAAGCCTCACAGGGACGCTACTTATTGTCCATTGAAATGGGGATCATCTTTCCAAGGAACTGTTGGTACTAATAGCTCTGCATGACCTCAGTATTCCATGGTACCATAATTCCTAAGGTATAATGTAGTCGAGGTGGCCTTTTCTGGGCCTCCGGGCTAGTTCGGGCCTAAATACGGAACCACGCATTTGCATCCAAAACCGGCACCTCCCATTCCCTTTCCCACCACTACGTATTGGTGCAGCAGGGTGGGAAGCGATATTGTAGGCAGAAACTAGACTGCAAGGAATCCTTGAACCCAACCCCCTTTGCCCCATCATCCCCAGACCCAGACCCTGAACCCGATGGGCAGAATCGAATCCCTTGACCCTCGAGGGATCATCTCCCCACCCGCCACTGAGAAACCAGAACCCTAAGTTCTAAACCCCTACCCTGAACCTAACCGCTGAACCCCATGCGAGAAGACTAGAAACCAGTCATGATATTCACAACAGGGCGCTGGCAGGTCGGGAAGCCTTCAGCATGCCTGTGGGATGTCACGCTGAGTTGGGCTTGGGCTCGTGCTTACGGCTTAGGGCTTGGGTTGTAAACTTTGTGGGTTGACGGGGTAGGATTCAGGGACTTAGGGGTTTGGGGTTCAGGGATGTACAACTTGGGATTAAAGCCTAGGTTTTAGGGTTTGAGGTTCAACGCGTAGCTCCGGCCCAATGACTAAGCTCACTGTGAGGGTCTTGAAACACCACCTTGGTTTACACTCAGCTGATGCATGTAGAAATCCTGTCCCCAGATTGATTCAAACCACCCAGTCGCCTAAGAAGAGAGTAGTATCCCCAAACCCTAAACCCTAAACCCTATCTATATAGATACACATCAGTATCTAGATAGATACACATAAGGGGAAGTCGGCTCCCCGGGTTTCTCTCCAGACAAACAGGGTATGTATATGGGGGGTTTCCCAAAATTAGGGGGTACCTTGTTGAGGGTCCCTATAGTAGGGCTAGTATTTTAGGCTGATATTAGGGTCACCCTGATTATTTTGGAAAACTACCATGTTGGCATGTAGGAATGTATAGGGTTAAGGCGTTAGGAACCCCCTAATCCCGAACTCGCTGAGGCTGCCAGTTTCCAGGCTCCAATTTGAATCTTCCATGTCATGGCGGGGGCCTATCTGTATTTCCCAATCTACGCATCATTCTGCAGCTTTTAACAGGAGGGCAACATCTTCTATGGACCCTAAAACCTACATGACAACACAAACCCTGAAACCCCAAAGTCAACATCAAGATGCTCCGCTGACTCCCTTAGATTCGGTGTCAGGATCCCCATAGTCCCCCTTAAGTTGATAGAATATGGCTTTGGGTATATTATAATAAGATCCCCATATACCCCACATTCTATGGGACTATACTCTTAAGGCTACGAAAGTGTACTCTTAGGTCTAACACGCTCAAACTAAACCCTAAACCGTCGGTCCTTCCCCCACCCTCTAAAAGTCTATCGTAGAGGCAATATAGGGGCTATATATATATATATTTTTTTTCTATTACGATTATCATCCAACTGTTAATGAGCCTGGGCAGTACCCAGCCTAAACCCCAACCCCAAGACCCAGCAGACATAAACTGGGTTGCTGTTAAAGAACTTAAACTAAGTTACTATAATGGGTATATAGTAGTTGATACAATATAGTAGCTTAAATCAAGTTCCCACAACCCAATGAGCTTCCAAGCATTGCAAAACTCCCGCGCAGCCGAGAAGCCAGGCGTCGCGGCCGCCTTTGAGCCGCTTCAGGCCCTCCGCTGGAAAACCCTGGTCCTCACATTTTAGTGTTTGTGGGTTTTTTCGGGTTTAGAGAATTTAGGGGAGCTTAGGGTTGAGAGCCAAAGGGTAAAAGTTAAGAGTTTAGGATTCAAGGCTAGCGGATTAGGGCATTAAGTTCAAGGTTTAAGGTTGCTCCGGGTGGTCCCTGCATGTTTTTGTGCGTATCAGTGGTCAAACTGTTGCAGTCCCTTCTTTGTTTGCCGGTCGGGGTAAATGGGGTAAATATACATATACGTATATAGGGGTATGTGAGTAGGTAGGAGGATGTGTAGAGGCTTACAGAAGTTAGAAGAGATCTACAGGTCCTTTTGGACTTTGCAGCGTGGTCGCTACATATTTTAGGCTGTTAGAATGTCCCTTGTCCCTTCACAGTCTGTGCTGTCATGGTGGTCGGTGAAGTCCCTTCGCGTTTTCTGGCCGTCCCAATGTAATGTAGATCTGTCTCTGTGTCGCCCTTTCACGTTTAGTCGTGTTTTGGCCGACATGGAGTATCCCTTCGTGCGGCGCCCTCCTTTGTCTGGAGTCTAGACATTAGTGGATGTGCCGAGCTGCAACCAACCATTGGCAGACGACGCTTCAGCGGCTCTTTTCCACGCCCTTGTCAGTGTAGCACCTTGGCTTTCATACCAATTGTTTCCTTCAAAATTCCCATCGTTAAATATCCTTTCAGCCTCAATGTTGCATCAGTATTAGATGCAGCGACCAGCGGATATGGGTTTCTACTTGATGTTAAAGGGTGCGAGAGGCGCGGAATCATCTCCGGCAAAGATCAACCGAACCGCTTCCATGCTAATGGTGTTCCAAGTTTGGGCCCTGTGTAGTAAATTCATCCCCTCGCGCGTATTTTTTTTTACCCCCCCCACCCCCCTAATATTCGCCGAGGCATCCACCCTGATCCCTTTACTTTCTTGCAGACGCTGCTCCAGCCTGACCATCCCGCATGAAATTTCAGCCTCGCCCAAGGTTCGGGGCTTTGGGAGTACGCGGCAGGGCGCATTTTTCGTTCAAACGACGGGCCAAAAACCTTGAAGCCTGGAGCCCGGAGGCCCCTGGAGGGCCCTGGAGGGCCCTGGAG